ATAATAAAAATATAAAACTTAATACAATATGATCAAACTTTTTGTAAATAAAGTAAAACACGCACAAAAAAAATTGGAAAGATTACACACCAAAATGTTAACTGTGACAATTTCTGGATGTTTGCATCACAGATGATTTTTATTTTTATTAAAATGTTTTCATATTGCCCCAAAAAAGCATTTACACATTTATATTCAGGGAAAAAAATGATTTTTAAGAAGTCTCCTAACAATTTCACCATGGTGCCGCAATTAATCATTTTCAGTAACCAGTAAAAAATAAATCTCATTTCAATAACAATAAGTAGATAGAAAAAAGCAGATGTATACTTATTATTTGGGTTCGATAAACATGTTTCTTTAGTTTCTTTTGCAAATATAATTCAGAACAGTATAATTCCCTTTTATTTGATACTCATCTCCTGTGAAGCTCCTACAAGCAAGAGATTACACACTGAGCATTGATGGGCATGAAGCAAGCAAATAATCACCACCCAAATATTTTACTGATATATTGCAACATTTTATAATTTAGCAGTTTTCTTATACAAAGAAAGAATTCCCAAAGTTCAAATATTTAAAAAGAGCATTATGATCATATGATGTGATTTAAGACAATACTGAACCCACCTTCCACAGAGATTACACCCACATGTCGCCTTCGACTATTCATTTCTGGTCCGAAGAACCAACTGTTTTTATTGATAGAATAGCATTCAATACTGCGGAAAGGGTCACCGGATCCCCCTCGACCACCTACACAAAACAGCACACCTAAAGGGAAAGCCACAAAACAGAGGTCAAAATCACAGTTCCCTAATTTTTTTTAAATTAGTATGGAAAAAAATATTTAGGAAGTTAAAATTTTGATTAATGGCAAAAGAATGAGTTGTTTGGATGGCATTCAATGTCATTACTTTCCTGGAAATCTAATTTTCTTTTTCCTCATTTGAATTACTCCAAGAATGGGCTACATTAGCTATCTCTGCTTGCTAACATCCCACCCCAACATGGTTCAGATCCTCACCCTCTATGGAAAACTGCTCTTGCTAAGGTCATAACAGGATCCAATAAACGCGTTAATTTCTTACTGAACACAACTACAATATTTGAAATGTTGTTCACTCTGTTTTTTGGGGAAATTCCTTAGCTCTCTTGATTTTCCTAATATCTAAGTCTCCTCCTGTCTCAGATCATTTCTCTTTTTCCTACGTTTTCCAGCTTCCACTCCTAGCCTACTTGTCACACTCTTCATGCTCACGCAGGAAAAGTTCATTCTTTTATTTTAAATCCCATTGTGCCGTAATGCCTTCCAACCTGTATTTCTAAGCCGCGTTTCCACTTGGGGTCCCCAGGCACTCAGACCCAACATGTTCGAAAGCATCTCCCTTGCTCGCCTACCTAAACCACCTCTTCCTTCCCTGAGCCGTTCTTCCTCTCCTTGCAATTCCCACTGCACTGCCTTACGCACACCCGCCTCAGCTATTAGTAGGCTGTCTGCTTTCAGACTGTCAACAGAGGAATCTAATTAAAAAGCTCTTTTCAACAGCTTTCCATTATGTACACCAGTAGTTATTTTTAAAAATCACTTAGCAATGCCACAAAATTGTACATTTAAAAATGGCAGTTTTTACGTTATACAGACATACTTTGCGGATACTGTGGGTTCGCTTCCAGACCACCGCAATGAAGTAAGGATGACAAGAAAGCCAGTCACATGAATTTTTTGGTTTCCCAGTGCATATAAAAGTTATGTTTACACTATACTGTAGTCTATTAAATGTGCAGTAGCATTATGTCTAAAAAAAACAATGTACACATCTTAATTAAAACATACTTTATTGCCAAAAAAATGCTAACCATCATATGAGCCTTCAGCAAGTCACAATCTTTTCTGGTGGAGGGTCTTACCTTCAATTTATAAAAAATGCATTACCAGCAAAGTATAATAAAATGGCAGATACCTATAATTACCATAATTCACAACTACAAAATTTAGTGTGGTGCAGAATCACCCAAAAGGCATAAAACACTGATTGTGGGGCCTGCCCCCCAGAGTTTCTGATTCAGTAGGTTTGTGGTAGGTCCAAGAGTTTGTATTTCTAACAAGTTCCCAAGTGCCTACTGATGCTCCTGGTCCAGGGGCCACCACTTCCTTGACACCATGAGAACCACTGCCTTATAAAATAAAGCCTTAGCACAGCACAAAGGCCTGGCAGTGTCTAACCTGAAGTTCTCCTTCCCTTTCTCTTAAAACTTCTCGCTCCTGTAACATGCATATAGTTAGTGCTCATCCTCAATGTTCTGAGAGCAACTTGTGGTAACGATCCTTCACTTAATACACAGTATTGAAATGATCTATTATGCTGATGTCTGTCACCAGAATCTAAGCTAGGTTAAGACTGTGCGTTAAGTATTGATGCACCAATAAGGACCAGCACAGTGTGCCCGGCATGTACTAGGTGTTCAATAAATGTCAAATGAACGGACTAGCCCCTTTCCCTAAATGGCACCCAGAAAAACATCTATTATTAAAAACTAAGACTGAGGTTTACTTTCTCTATAAAACCTTTTCTGACTCTTGCAGGTAAAAATAACCACTTTTCTTGGTGCTTCCCACTATACCTTATGATTACATCAAAGTACTTGTAATACTTTATTGCTTTTATTTATCCACAAGTCTATTTCCCTAGGTCAGACTGCAAGTTCTCTCAGAACAGGGATGGCTACATTTTATTTGTGTTTGCATTTCTAACACTTAACCCAGAATCTGGCACATGGTAGGCACTTAATGTTTAC